GCAGCAGAGCCGCCGGACAATAGGAAACTATTGGGCGGAGCTAGCTGTCACTGCTAGCTCCGCACAATCGTTTTCTATTTACTTTTTTAAACTTTTTTCACTCTTTTTCTTTTCTGCTCAGTACCTCTGAGGGACCGAGCAGAACCGCCGAGCCAAATGCCGCTCGGCGGCATTTGGCTATTCACTCACTGCTGTTCGGGATCTTTAAGAATAGCCGGAACAGCAGTGAGAAGCCTGCCAGAGGTTCGGCTCGGCCGATCCAGATGTTGGATCGGCTGAGTCGAACTCCTTCTGCACTGCACTTTGGGTCAGCCGAACATGCTGAGCATGTTCGGCCGACCCGAAGCCACACGAAGCAGGCCGTTGTACGGCGGATTTCAGCCGATGTACGGCTGAAATCAGCCGTACCAGCCTGAAGTGAATAGCCGAACAGTGTTCGGCTCACTTCACTTCTGATCGGTCATTCACTCGGCTGCCCTCGGCAGCATAGTGAATAGACCCCTTAGACTCTCAAAAGCCCCTTAATGAGCCAGGCCATAAATGCATGTTGTATAGAGTCTAGCAAAGCAGTTTTAAACAATACACATTCTGAGTTGACCTGCCAAGGTCAAACTTTACACATAATTAATAATCTCTGCTATACTAAAATTACATTCATAACAAGTATCTACCTAAATGTATAAGAATATAACAATCAAGTAGATACCAAAAACACCTGTGCAACATGTTTGAGGTCTATTATATTGTCATTTAATCTTTTAAGAAGAACTATGGGGAGAGGTAAATACACTTTCCCCCATGATTAGAGCCGACGTGTGACGCTGAAGCTGTCACACCTCGGCTCTATAGATTGGGAAATGAGTGATCACATACCGCCGATCACTTATTTTCCGATCTTCTCCACCCCTCCCTGCAGGGATTCGCTCCTCCCCTGTCCATTCCTCCATCGTGTGGCCAGCTGTCAATCAGCAATAATGTCAGGATCCGTCCTGGCTGCAGTGTGGCTCCGCGCTTTCAGCAGATATCGGGCAATAGACCGCTATATGCTAAGTTTTGGGTCACAGGAGGACATAGTACATGTCCTCCTGTGATTCTTAAGAGAACCGTGACCAAAACAGGTTGTGCCATAGTTCTCTTTTAATTCAGATATAATGGGGTTGATTTACTAACCTTATAAACACACCACGAACATGTATACACCTCTGTAGTGTGTTCCCTCCCAGCATGATCTATGGGTGGAATCTAAACACCTTTGTAGTGTGTACACACCCAGCAGGTGTGTTGTGCAAAGCCCTGCATGAATTGCAAGGCGATGTTGTGTAAATTAGCTCTATGTTGTGTTGCTTGCGTTGATTAATGCAGGAATGTAAATGCATGAGCTAACCATTTTTGTCTAAACTGTGAAGCAGCATTATATATGCATCATGTGCATGATTTCTCCATATATGGCATTAGTAGAAGTATGCTTTTAGAGACTTTTTGGTTGATAAATACGTTTTGCTGTGTGAAAATCACACGCACCTGGTGCGTGCGTGTGTTTAGGTTAGTATATCACCCCCAATGACTCCAATACAATCTAATTTTATCCCAATACATCAGATTGGACATACTCTGCAGTGGAGTGGACTCTTGTTTTCTTTTCTTTCATTGAAATGATGTTCAAACATTGTTAAGCTAAATCTCTAAATGTTCTAAATCAGAAATTTAAGAATCTTTGCCTCTGTGAGGGCGTCTATATTTTCCTATTCTGTTTATTCCTGTCTGAGCATGGCATTTAGTACCACAGGCACTTCTTAAAGATCAGAATTACTACAGCAAATGCAGTGAACAGTTCATGTTTCCGGTAAATCACGTGGCTACTGTGGGTGTGTGTGTAAAGGGTTAACTTCAGAGTTAACCGACCCCAGTGTTGATCACTCTCAGTCTGATGGCACCTAGATTGTTGGTGTTGCATGAGCTAGAAAAGGCTGAAAATGTGTAAGTCTTATTCTGCTGGCAATGGCAGTATCTGAGGCTGCCACCATCACATTCTAGTGGCAGTGTTGGGATCTGAAACTCCCATCATCACACCAGCAACTTCAGCACCGCTGGTGTAGAAAAATGAGAGATTCGAGATGACATGTAGAACATATTCTCAGACAGACTCACTCATGTCATAATCGCAAAGGAAAGAAAAATATCTTCATAATGGCCTCCCTTGGAATTGGAATCCTGCCTTGTCCCACTCCACCTAACACTGAGAAATCCCTTGTTATTATAAGCCCCTCTATATGATTAAGGGTGTAACTGTTTTCCTGGGGCAACGTCCGCTGCTGTACCTCTCTTCTCACAATTCACTTACATTCACATACGTTACACAGCAAACAAACAAAAAATAATAAAAAGCATGCTGAGGTAAGAAAAACAATGAGCTAAGAGCCATATCACTCACAGTTTCCATTTTGCAGATGTGCACGCCTTTTTTCTTCAGATTTCATTTTTGCTTTAATATACCACTGGCACCTGGGGAAAAACACAGTTATAACTATAAGTTTGTTTACAAGGAAGCATTTCAGCCCAAAACACCTTGTTTATCAATATTTCAATTTCAATAATTATTCACATTGTCCATGGCAATAGTTTAGATCATTCTCAAGTAGGGTTCCTCCAGAGGTTGCTAGGAGTTCCTTGAGCATTAGTAGATTAATCTTCTGGTTTACAGCACTTTTGTTGTTCCAGTACCATCAGCTGGCAGAGCCAGAGACTTGGGACCAGTGATTATCAATAAAAGGGAAACTACACTTAAAACAAATGTAACAGGGCATTCTTTCCTCTTAACACTATCGTAAGTGGGTCCTTCTTCCATTAGCCATTAATATTTGGGGGTCAATAACCTATTGGCCATGGCCAATGCTAGGAGGCACCTTTCCACTGACCACCAAGTAAAGGGATATTTTTCTCCTCACCTCCAATGTTAAGGGACACTACACTTTTTATGTTCTGAGTCTATTTCTGCACATTATATTTATTTTAATAATTTTTACTACCAATAAGTAGCACATATCCAAAATAAGGGTTATGTAGGATTCTCTCTTGAGCGTAGGTTTACTGTGTAAAAGGTATGCACAGGCAAACAGACATGCTCCTCACTGTTCCAGTCTAAGCACTACCGTACAGTAGACTGCAAGAGGCAAAAGTCAAATTAAATTAATGTACCTACACCTATTGAATTTGAAAAACATTTCATTAATAATAAATAATAGATACTTAGTTGCAGTCAGTGGTATTTTATTATAATCTGCCTGAAGTCCAGCTTTAAAATGTATTCACTTAAATACAGCCCTTCATGGTAACATACTTACTTTTTTTGCTTCCCAACCAATCTGTTCAGAAAGCAAAGACCTGTAAAAGCCATGAGTTGCTAGAGTTATAGCTTACACAGGGCTATGGACTCCACTGTAACAGAAGCCCAGTGTTGTCACTTAAACTGACTCAGAATCTACCTAAAAGTATGAGGTATTGTCTTTGGCACCCAACACTGGATGGAATGGAAAATGAGAATAGAATTTTCATACTCAGATCCAATTCTGGATCAGTGATGGGCTCGATGTTCGAGTTGACAGTTTGACTCGAACATTGCTAGTTCGTGTGTTCGGCTAACACACAAACCATCAGGGCGTTCAGTGGCGAGCGCCCCACAAGGCACTGCGCATTGCACGGTGCCTTGTGAAGCCCTGATGCATTACATTGCTTTACCCATTCATAGCACAGTGCACTTTGAGAGCTATGATTGGGCGGGAGGGCGTCGCGAGTGGACAGGTCGGCGGGCGCCAGGTTTTTTTCAATTATTATTTGTATTTATTTTTACTTGTTTTATTTTTTATTCCGTTAAGTCGGGGGCGACTCTGGAAAAGCACCCGCCCAGTGCCGAGGTCATGTGGCATGGTATGGCAGGGAGGGGCGCTCGCTTGTCCCCCCCTTTTCCTGCCCTGCCAAGCCTGTGCTCGGATCAAGGGTCAGGTTGAGAATTTTAGAGGGACCCCACATCTTTTTTCCCCCATTTTTGAGGGTGGGGTTCCTCCTCCTTAAAATTCCTACCAGACCTCAAGGGCCTGGTATGACTTTGGAGGGGAACCACACACAATTTTTTTTAATTTTTTTATTGTAACTTCGGGTCCCTCCTAAAATTCCTACCAGACCTAAAGTGTCTGGTATGACTTTTGGGGGGAACCCCATGCTTTTTTTTTTCTATAGAATGGGTTTTCTCCCAACTTTCCTACCAGACCTAAAGGGTCTGGTATTGTTTGGGAGGGGGAGCCATACCCTTTTTTTTTCCTTTATGAATTTAATTTTTTTTCTTTGTAAATTTCACTTTTTGCTACAGCAGGTTCTATACATTGTACAGATGTGCCACTTTACAGGCAGTTTAAGGGGACCCCCCAAGCATGATATTTAAAGGAATTTTTCAATTGGCCAATAACTTGCATATAAACCTTCAAAATGGGGACATTTGATTTTCAGAGTTCTGGTCCTATAGACTTTCATTGAGTTTGAAGTTCGAGTTAGAACTTTTTCCATGTTCGAAAGTTTGAACTTGAACTGAACAGGGGTGTGTTCCGCCCATCACTATTCTGGATATATTCTGTCAGATTAGCTCATCTGCCACCTAAAGAAATGACTGCCTTTGGAAAGTTTACTTACTCTTGCCCCGTAGAAAACAAATTATAAGGGTCTTTTACTCTCGTCACTGGTTTCTTTATTTTGTTTAGTTATTTTAAATGAAATAAGTACTCTGCTAAGCACAATTATTTTTTTATGTCTCCATTAGGAAATGGGTGGAGAAGATGGAATTTTGGATCCTGTTTGTTTTTGACCCTGCATCATCAATATGTCACAACTGAGTAGGTCTGAATAAGGAAAAGATGTTCTTCTCCCATGATGCAATTTAATTTTTTTGTTCATTACTATGTGCAGAATCAGCATGTTATAGTAGAAGGGACAGGGTTTGGATAAAGCATTTGTTTGGGTATCATATACATGGCTGCTAGTCAGCTTTTCCCTTCATTAGAGGGATGCAAGTAAATGCATCATTTGATCATATTCAGTAATTTTACCAGCTAATTAAAACAACACTCTCTTTTTTCATTTGGCCTCAGTTCAGCAGGATATATCTTCCTCTGGAGTCTCTGTTAGATAAAAGAAGCAGCTGGGTGAGTTAGTCTAACAGAGTCAGTCGCAGGTGAACACAGACTATAAAGCATTTTCCAGATAATGCTGCAACTTCCTAGATGGATTAACATTACCTACTGTTTGCTGACTGATAACATTTGCTCAGAATTTTCACCCCAGATTATGAGACTCTATCCTACTTATATTAATTATGCTGAGTAGTTTGCTAAGCTCCCAAACCAATACTGAGCATATAATAAACAATCACAGCATTGCTAGCACTGAGCAAAAGCATATTAGGCAGATTTTCCCTCTCAAGTGTGCAATAACGCCTGTCAGGAGCACCATTGAGAATGTGACAAGCATTTTATACTTTAATTACAGTGTTTCCAGGTGAATTACTGCACATCTTCACAAATAATCCATTGTGCTAGACATGAGATTCTCAGCCCTAAGAAGTTTGGAAGAGGTTTGTATATGGATGTAGTTAGTATATACAGTAGCATACAACAGTGCAAAACATAGCTGGCTCTCCTTATTGCCTCAGAATATGGTGTTGTGGTTTTCCCTTGTATAGATAAAATTGGGATAGTGTTTTGACAATTGATACTTTGTACTGCCATGGAGTCCAGTGCCAAAAACCTGTGAACAAGTGACATGCAGCGTCTTTTGGAATATGAGCTTTTCCTGTATTAAAATATAGGTAGCAATGATCTCTAAAGAAGATGCTGAGTTTAATGGGCCCTCCTGGCCTTTCTACTGGTGCATTGCTTTAATGCTCCCCCAAATCACTTACTGACACATCCGAATGACCGACATCCACACATCTTTGCTTGCAGGCTTTATTGGCTCAAAGTCCAAGGAAGACAGTGACAAAAATACCTCAGCTTAAATACATAATTAACCTTCTCATGGGTCTGGGGGGCGCATTTTATTCTGAAACCACCAATTCTTCAATGTGTGGAACAGTAATAGACTGTAATGGATTGAGCAAGCTTTCTGAAACTGCTCCCTGTTTCTAGCCATCTTCCAATATTCCAGGGCCCTAGCAAAAAGACTCCTCTGAAAGGCAAAAAGTCTCCTCACAGTCGACCTTGCAAAGAGTCTTCTAAAAGAGCTGTTATCTCCTTCTCCAGCTCACATCACTGAATTAAACCTCTTAGTAATTGACCAGAATGGGATAAAAATTCATAACTCTTTACTAGGGCTGGGGAAATTAACGATTAATCGTTAAACTTTTTGTTCGATTAAAATTCTTTTGATCGAAAATGAAAAGATTCACCTCGCCGCCGGCTTCCGGGAGTCCCGTCGGGAGTCCCGCCGGCTTCTGGGAGTCCCGTCCTCCCCCCTTCTCCAAGTGGCTCCGTCGGCTAATGAAGGGAGGGGGGAGGAGTCCGGTGACGTCGATGTCCGTTACGTCACCGGACTCCTCCCCCCTTCCCTTCGTTAGCCGACGGAGCCACTTGGGCCAGTGAGTTTGCCCAAGAAGCACCAAGCTTCTGTCTTATCTTAAACTTATATATATGCACTATGTGGCTCTCCATTAACCCCCCCCATTTCGCTCCCAGAAATGTGCCCATTGAAATTTACTGATATTATGAAACTTACCAACTTGCCACAGAAACTTGTTTAAGACTTTTTGAAAAACATCTGGGCATGGTACCCATAAAGAGCAACCTTTGGAAAAAAGCATCACTAGCTGCAACAGCTGCAAGGATCGGGGACACCCAAAATGTGCAAGTATGCCAGCAAAGCATTAGCAATTTGTTAAAATGCACTGAAAGGTTTGCTGAATGTTAAGTATTTGTACTTAAATTTCTACATAACATGCAAAACCTTATGTTATAGCAAAACTTCATAACATGCCTATCTCTGCATGGCATTGAATCTAAGATAAGTAAGAACACTGCCTGTTTAACATACCATTGGCTAGGCAGGTCTGAGGCACGAAAAAAAGTCACACAAATAAATCTTCCCCTACTTAGCACTACGTAAGCTATACCAGCCAGATTCAGGTAGTACAGTAGGTGGCACAATACTTTGAGGGTTCAGGACCCGGACTGCACATTTCCAATGTATTGAACATAGGAAGGTGGTAGCAAAATTCCAGTTTTACTTCTATCTGGTTTACCATTATGAGTTTTATCATAAATGGGTCACAGTAACCCTATTGCACACGGATAGGATGTTATATATGTAATATGCATATTGCAAAGTACGACCGAAAGGGTACCATACAATCACTGAACAATGAATCTGTGACTGATGTAACTAGGCCTTAGGATTCTAATACATTCTTTTAACTGACTGTGGTGAGCCTGACCCCTTCCAGTCAGAGCCAACAATTAACATCC